TCAACGTTCAAGCAGCCTGCAAAACAAAATTGAACAGCAATAAATCGTTTGGAATATGCAGCAAAGTCTTTCAATAGTAATTGAACAAACAGAGGTGCAACGCTATTGTTGACTCTGAAAATATACCAAAGTTACCAGCAGGTGGAGGGTTTCCAGGAATTTGAAAGCACAAGAAGACTCTGAAACATCTCCTCGATCCGCCTCTCCTGCTGCGTTTGTAGAGCCTCTACCTTACGGTTCATTTCCCTCATCTCCTCTCTAAGCTCGTCTACTGTCGCAACAGGCCTTGTGTTTGACCATGTTGTTTTCTTTTTGTCAATGTAGCTGCCACAACAAATATAAAAGCAGAATTACAAAGTTCTAGGTAAATGAGAATCAGTTATGTAAGAACACATAAATCCAAAATATCATGAGAATCAGTTATGCAGATGCTGTATCAATCCAAAATATCAGAATCAGTAACCATACAAATTCCTAGACATTATGCTTTTCTACTCCTATAAGTACCTCATTTCCATGTAACACCCTAAACCAGTAAAACAAATACAGCATTCATATTCACTGCAACACAAGTGACACTGATATGTCTACTCTAGCAAACAATCACAAAGAACTAGTATAAAAACAATATGGAAAAATAGTTCCAAATATTCGACTACTTAGACTTATGGCTGCAAATTTCAATCAATTACTTACACTTAGGGCTGTAAAGAAAGATCTCTCGAGAATATCTTTTTGACAAAGGTTGTATGCAGGGGCGAAGCCAGGAATTTTGCTCAGGGTGGGCACTTTAATTATGCACTCTAATTTTTTTCCTTTTAACCGATCACACTATATAACATATTTATATTTATTATATTATTTTTGATATATGAAGTCCATTTAACATAAAAAATTCCAAAAAAAAAAATGTATATTGTCAGGGGTGGAGCCATGAATATCTATGATAGAGGCAAAATATAACTAGTATAAAAAAATATTAAGCTGAAATTAATACAAAAAAGTTTAGTTCAAGAATAAAAAAAAAGTAAGAATCAACACTAAATTATTGTGAAATAGTAAATTCAATTTTTATTTAGCCAAAACAAAATCTTAACAAAAAAACACAAAATAATTTTTTTAGTACATTTTAACCTAATTATATATTTCAATAAAATATAAATTTTTTTTAAATCTCTAAAAATTTTTGTATATGAATTAAATGTAAATTAATTTTCATATTTTATTAGGTTATAGATTACTATTACTAAAAAAAATGGTAAATAAAAACTAAAAATCATTCTTAAAAAGTATCGAATATTGTGTTAGATATAGAGAAATATTGTATTTTTGTCAAGATACAAATAAAACATTGACTCAATCCAAAACTAACATATTTATTTTAGAGGGTTACTGGTCCACTAATTTATTAAAAAAAAAAACTAGAACCATTATTAAAATTTTCAAAAATTTAGGGGGTAAATATAATGTATAAAATAATTTTATAGGTTGGTGCAAGGAAGGATAAAAAAACTCAAGGAATTGAGTTTCTCGTGTGTTGAGCTTTTCTCTGTTTCTTCTCTTTTTCTTGTGGCTGGGCAATGGGCAGCTGGAAGTGAGTGATACAGAGAGGAAAAAAAAAAAGATATGATAAGTTTTAGTCAAGTGGGCCAAAAGTTTTATTTTTTAATGATGGTGGACCAAAAGTTTTGTTTTTAATGTTGGGCCAAAAATTTTGTTTTTAATATTGGGTTAAAATTTTTGTTTTTTAATAGGTTTGAGTGGACTGTGATAGGTCAAATATTTGATTTTTTAATAAGTTTGAATAGATAATAGTGAGTTCAATTTTTTTTGTTTTAAATGGATTTAATTGTTTAATTATTTTGAGTAAATAATGTGAGCCTAATTTAAATGAGGGGCACACATAATATATATGTATAAATATATAATACATATATTTAACTAATTAAAAAAAAAATTGAGGGGGGCACGTGCCCACCCTGGCCCTACCTCCCTCCACCCATGGTTGTATGCATCTAAAGAGAGTGACAACCAATGTAGATTTGGAATGAAAAAGTTGCCATGCAATTCTTAAATATTTTTCCCATGCACGTTTTTTTTAGGTTGGGGATCAAATCACAGTTGCAAGGCTCTTTCTTCCTGAGAGTTTATTTGTTTTTATACCTTTCAGCTATAATTTTTGTTTGATTTTATCTTTATAATTTTTTAAAATGATCAAATAAAACAGAGTAATATATGAATATATGTGAATCAATTAATGTAATAAACGTGCCATATAAATTCATTCTACAATCTATATTATAATTTTCTCACATGAATATTAACTTTATTAAATTTGCTTCATAGAGTGCATAAAAATGGTGTCGACTTCATAGAGTGACTACACACAGTGTATATTAAAACAAAACTCGAATTTATGTTTTATAGAGTGACTAGATAGCGTGATACAATAGAGCGACTGTAATGGTCTTTTATTTATTATTTGTTCTGAAATAGTGATACTTACATGTAACTTTCTGCTTCTTGAATTTGCTTCAATTTGTTGTAGTCAGTCGGATCCAATGATTTGCAAGCTTGCCACAACCTTTTGATATCCTTCTGCTATTTCCTTTAATTGTGGTGGCCTTCTCTTTCGCGTCATCATTGCTTCTTCGGCTGACCCCTTTCTTAGTTGGCAACTCGTCCTATGTCACACTATGCTTCTTTATGCTTTTCATCCCACTGTACTCACAATCTTCATTTCTTTTTCTTTTCCTCTCTTTTGTTTTGACTTTTCAAACCATGGATGTTTGGCCTTTTTTGGGTTTACTTCTTTGGGCTTGTTCTATTTCTTCAACACTATACGGTAGCATCTTAGAAACTTGTCCCGGCTGAAAAGCTTTTTAACTCATATATCTGTGTTTCTTTTTCAATTAACTTCATCATGAATTCTGTGATTTGTGTCTTCAAGAAATCATCACCCAATAGGATGTCTCGATACTGTTCAGTGTTGTCATTAGTGACCATGTTTCCGATGATTATTTTCAACTCTTCAATTTTCTTTGAAAGCTCCTCGAGCTTTTCTTTGTTGATGTCATCTTTCTGCATCAGCTCCGAAGCAATTTTGAGTTCTTCATCTCTCTATTTGATTATGTCATCTTTGTCATCTTCAGGTAGCCAACCATTTTTTGCTTCAATGTTCTCAAACTCACTTTTTGCATGTCTTTGTGTTGACTCATGAACAACAACATCAAGAAGAGCTTCAATTGGATGCCTTTTTTTCTTATTATCCCCAATCATATCCATTATATCATCATCATCATCATCAAATAGTGGGTGATCATCATGCCACTGAAATCCTTCATCATGCTCTTGTTCTTGATCTTGTATTTTTTCAAAACTTCCTTCATCTTTGCATTCCTTCGAGTAGTTTGCTTCTGTTTCTTTGACAATTTCTTTTGTTGCAATACCATCATTACAACAAAAAGTATTTTTTGCGACGATTTTAAATTTGTGGCAAAAGTTTACTATTCACGAAGATTTTTTAATTTTGTCACAAATTTTTATTTTGGCAATTTTTTGTGACTTTTTTAAAAACGTCGCAAAAAGGCGATTCCCTCCTAATTGTTTTTTGCAAGAGAAATGGCAGAAATTGACAAATTAAATAAAAAATAATAATTTAATTAATTTGTTGCGATGTAAAATAAATTTTAGGTAAATAAAAAATTTAAAAAATAATAATTTAATTAATTTTTCGCGACGCCAATAAATTTTTAGATAAATAAAAAATTTAAAAAATAATAATTATATTAATTGTTAGCGACATTTTTCGAACAACGTCGCCAATATGTTTTTACGTAAATAAAAAAATTTTTAAAAAATAATTAAATTAATTTTTTGCAACGTTTTTGAAAAACGTCGCAAATAACAGTTATTTGTAAATAAAAAATTTTAAAAATAATAATAAATTATTTTTCGCGATGTTTTTAAAAAATATAGTCAATAAAGTTTTACGTAAATAAAAAATTTAAAAAATAATAATTAAATTAATTTTTGGTGACATTTTTATAAAAATGTCGCCAATAATTGTTTACGTAAATAAAAAATTTTAAAAATAATAATTAAATTATTTGTCTTGACGTTTTTAAAAACGTCGCCAATAAATTTTTAAGTACATAAAAAATTTAAACCTCATCTCTCTCCTGTGCACCTGCCCTCTCTCTACCCCCATGTCCCTCGTATCTTTGCCCCACTCTGTGCTCCTCTTCGTCTGTCTCTCTCACCCTTGTCTCTGTTCTTCCACCCCCATCTCAGTTGAAGCAAACCATCGCCAACAATAATGACGGCGATACTTCCTAACCCTTAGTCGATGGGTGAAATCAAACCCATGATTTTCAGCTAATTTTCTTTTGGTTATTACCAGTTTTCCAAGAGAAGGCCAGTCCCACCACCATGACACCGACGTCTCTCTCAGGTAGTTTTCTTTCTCCATTCCCCACCCCTTATTTCTGTCATCCTTTCTGCGCACAAACCACCCCCATAGATGCCCTAATTCACATCTCCCCTCTTTTTGATTCTCTCTTTCCTGATGAAATTCCTGTAGCCTCTGATCCTGTGGAGGTAATATTTTGTTTTCTAGAGCTTTTGTCTAAGAGCTTACGAACAAGATCTCAATTGTAAGGTTTCGGATTGTCGCTGCAGGAAGAAGACGTGAAGAATTTGTATGAAATCTATTCAGAAATTGGTGAAATAGCCAAGGACGTGAGCTAAATTGCCAACCTCCAATCAAAGATTTAAGGCCACAGCCTCGAGGTCCAATATCGTTTTTATCTCATCAGTAACAGAGATCCAAAGGTTTCCCCCTCTCTCTCTCAACTCAAAACCCTAATTTTCATTCTGCACTAACCTAACACCTCAATACAATGATATCTCTCATCAGATGTTGATTAAAGGGCACCTTTTGAGGATTTATGTAGTGGGGAAGTATGATGTATGACCAGTAGAAAAAGGGAAATACGAAGAATGAATATAAAAGAATCTGTATTTTAAGGTCTTGTGTGAGCATTCAAAGAAAAAAGGATTGAAAAGAAAGGAAAAAAAAACTGTGTTGCTAGGTGTTCATGTACATCTGATTGAGACTTTGAATTCAAATGGATTTGTTGCTTTCAGTTTGCTAGGTCATTTCCGAGGTTTGCAGTGACAAAGGAACTCTCCTAATGTTCCCGACGACTAAATTTGGTTTAAGAGACTTTAAGCTGACAAGACTAGTGCTTTTCCTAGCTATTCATATGCCATTATTATGCTAATATAAAGTTGCCACGAGACTAGACGTCGAGGCAATTTGTCAAGGCTCGGAATCTGATAGGTTCACGGATTAGATTATCAGTAACGCGACATGAAACCATATTTGGCATTTCTACCTTTTCTTTTAGCTTCCCCTCCCCCTCCTTCTCCAAAAAAAAAAAATTGGTTCCATCATATACATTCCATGATTGACTAATCCTTTATACTTTTTTTCGTCCTTTTTTCTCTTCTGACT